TCAATCATGACATCCACACACACTCTAATGTTTTGCCACAAAAAGCCAATCAAATGCACTTACAGAGAGATTGAACAATATTGAAAAAGAATAGAATGCACAAAAGTCCAAAGGGGTACCACTTATATATTTAGTCGACGACACTTGTTTCGATTCGTTTTGATTTCTTATTTAATCGGACAAATAATTGCATATATTTGTATTTCAATATAAATGAAGTGTTACATATTCACTTTTTATTCATATTTGGTCTTTATGCATATTTGGTTCATATTTGTTCTTAATGTGAGAGTTTGTTATATGGTTCTGTTTTTAAAATGCTTTAAGAGAAGTTTTAGAGATACATCTCCGAAAGATTCTGTTATATGATTTGTTATGGTTTAGGGAAAGTTCCGGAGATTCATCTTCAGAACAAGATAATATGGTGCGGTTCAAAGGAGATATATATCCATAATCAATATGATAGTTAATGAGTGGTGCATATTGAACTAGGTATTCTATAAATTTAAGTGTTATTGTGTTATATTTCACACAAACTCAATATGTCTCAAATGTCACAAGTAAACATCCGCCGGTATGTCGCAAATGTCTCCTACTCTGGTAGCTCTACACTCGGGAGAACGTTTAAGCTCATCAATCTCACCCCTCGAAGATTTCATAGATAAAATCCGCTATCTCTTACCTTACGGAGACAAACGAAGGATTGTGAAGTTCAAGTAACATTCACATTCGATTGACAACGAAGGGAACATCATATTCAACAAATTTGAACTCAAGACTCGAGAGGTTCTGTTCGAATTAAAAATGACACTACAAAAATCAATAAAAAATATCTTAAAGATGTATAAACGTCTACTAAAATATTAAAATATAATATTTAATTTTCCGTAGAAATTATCATCGGAATCAACCTATTATATTATAAATTTCAATTGTTAGCATTTAAATAGAGAAGCGAGGAAAAGCCACTGTATTTAGAAAAAACGCGGAGCGCGAATAGCAGACACACTACTTCAACAGATACATTTGACTCAGTTCAACTCGCCCGAGCGAACTCGAATGTTGATAACACAATCGTAAGAACCAAAACAGAACCAGTAGCACGAAAAACCCAATGGGTACCTTCTCTCTTCTCAAATGCTACACACCCTTTTCCTCCATGCTTTTCGCCCACTCACCCCGAACCTTTTTCTCCGGCTACCGCGCCGCCGTCTTCAGAAAAAAGAAATTCCCTTCCTTTCGCGCCGTCTCATCTTCTCACCCATCGACGGCGGAGAAGAATTGCAACGACGGTGAGAGTTTCCGTTCGAAGAGTCCATCGCCGGAAGTATGGCTTCACAACACAATGAGTAAGAAGAAAGAGCTTTTCAAACCGAAAGTTGAGTCGAAAGTTGGAATGTACGTTTGTGGAGTCACTGCTTATGATCTCAGCCATATTGGTCATGCTCGTGTTTACGTCAATTTCGATCTTCTTTATAGGTTACTCTCTTCTCTTGAAAATACCCTAATGCAAAAAAATGATTTTTTTTTTGTTAATGTGCGCAAATTGTGATTTGGGTGCTAATTAGTTTTTGGTTTGTGTTCTGTTTGACAATTAGGCAGATATTTTAAGCACTTGGGATTGGAAGTTTGTTATGTTCGCAATTTTACTGATGTAGATGATAAGGTGAGTGTTTATTTGACATTTGCTTTCTTTTTCTGATGTTCTCTTGGTATTTTTCAATAGGGTCTGTTTGGATTACTTCATAGATTAAGTAAACTTATGACATGTTGATAAGCTATTACAGTTTCCAGCTTATTTCCATAAGCTCTACCGGACAACCTATGATAAACTTTTATGCTAAAAGAACTTAGTTAAGCTGATAATTCTTTAGAGTTTGGAGGACTTTGAGAATTTTGGGAATTTTGATTATGTTTTTATATTGCTAGTTCAAAGTACCCACTACTTTTTAATTGGTATTACAGGATCTTAGTCTGCAATTTTCAAATTATGTAGATAATTGCTAGATCAAAGGAGTTGGGAGAAGATCCAATCAGTTTAAGTCGACGCTATTGTGAGGAGTTCTGTCAAGACATGGTAACTCTTAATTGTTTGCCTCCAACTGTGGAACCAAAAGTCTCTGAGCACATACCCCAAATCATTGATATGATTGAGAAGGTACCATCGTCTTTAATTTTAATATGGCATTAAAATGAAAATCAAAAGATTGTCAAATTCCATATCGTTGTTTCGTATTCCATTTCTAAGAAAACTTACATTGATATGCCCTTGGTAATTTGGTATATGAGATGATTCGCATCATAATATATTATCACGCTCTCTTTTATGAATCAGATTCAGAAGTTATAGTATTGGTTCATTGTTAATCAGTTAAATACTTGTTGACAGATTCTTAATAATGGGTATGCCTACAATGTTGATGGGGATATATACTTTGATGTAGAAAAATTTCCAGAATATGGGAAGTTGTCTAGTCGAGGTCTAGATGATAATCGAGCTGGTGAGCGGGTTGCTATTGATTCAAGGAAGAAAAATCCTGCCGATTTTGCTCTATGGAAGGTATAAATATATTGATGATAGATAATTGTATGCAGATATGTTACATATGTTGATCTGATTATATATTTTAAATTCATGATTATAAATGATTTAAAATCCTAATTTAGTTTGAAACTTATCTATCGTGGATTTTCAATGCTTTTTACAGTCTGTAAAGCCAGGAGAGCCATTTTGGGATAGTCCCTGGGGTCCCGGAAGACCTGGGTGGCATATTGAATGCAGTGCTATGAGTGAAGCTTATCTTGGTTACTCTTTTGACATCCACGGTGGAGGGATTGACCTGGTATTTCCTCACCATGAAAATGAAATTGCTCAGAGTTGTGCTGCTTGTAGCAAAAGTGATATTAGTGTATGGATGCACAATGGTTTTGTCACCATTGACTCTGTGAAGATGTCTAAATCTCTGGGAAACTTTTTCACAATACGGCAGGTGACACAGTCCTCATAGTTTAGGCTTATTTTTTGTTTTAGGTCTATTGTATAATATCTTTGACGGTTGTTGTTGGCTACCACTTGAAAGGATTAAGTTCTTATTCCACAAACCTTTCATGTTTGCAGGTTGTAGATGTTTACCATCCACTGGCTTTGAGATATTTTTTGATGAGTGCTCATTATAGATCTCCCATGAACTACTCTAATATACACCTTGAAAGTGCTTCAGACCGTGTTTATTATATATATGAGGTACTGCTTTGTTTTTTGCTAGAAACTGAATTCTTCCCCTCATTCCATGTGCTTTTTGTCAATGAAGTTGGCAAACATGGTTTTTTCAAGCATTTGTTCATTATTTATGATGTGTACCGAAGATGTGTATTGATAGTTATGTTTGTTTGCAGACACTACATGCGTGTGAAATCTTGCTGAACCAGCATGATCAGACAGTTAGGAAGGACTCCGTCCCATCAGATACTTTGAATATTATTGATAACCTCTATAATGTTTTTCTGACCTCAATGTCTGATGATCTTCACACTCCAGTTGTATTGGCCAGACTATCTGATCCACTTAAGTTAATTAACGACTTGCTGAATACTCGCAAGGTATTGTATTTTTCTCTTTTGTAAAGAGATGCAGCAAAGATTTTAAATTGTGGTTGTGATCCTTGCTTGATATTGTAGAGAATTTCAGTCAAATGTGGGGCCACAGCCTCAATCTAAGTTGTGACGGGGAAACAGATAAAACCTTGAGGCTTATGTTGTGACCCAAACTGAGTAATTTGGCCTCTTTCAAACTTTGTAAATGTTTATGAAGAGAAATATTTGTACAATTTTTTCCGCATACCCTTGTCTTGTGGAAGTTTCCCATGAGAATCCATTCACATATAGGGGTTATCTAATTATTAGTTTTGATAGATTTTGAATGAGGTCATAGTTTAAAAAAGGATAATTTGCAGGAATTCACAGTTTGCTGTGTACAATAGATGTGGATTTTCGTTTAATAATGTTGATATATTAAACTTCATGTTTTTGTTATACTTATATATCTACCAATCCATCTTGGTTCATGTTTTTATCGCCTGAATGTTGTTTATAACATTTCTAAGTTCACAATCCTTGCAGGGGAAAAAACAACAATTTCGAATAGAATCTCTTGCATTGTTGAAGAAAAGCATTGGGGATGTCCTTACTGTTATAGGACTTATGCCTTCAAGTTACGATGAGGTATGAGTATGAATACATTTTAATTTTAAGTGATTGGTGTCTCTCACTTTTATCGAGGTATGAGTATGAATACATTTTAATTTTAAGTGATTGGTTTCTCTCACTTTTACCGTTATTGACATTTAATATCATGTCCATTAGTTTTGTATGCATGGTACATAACACTTGTATTATTGTGCCAAATGCCTTCTCTTTCTTGTAATATGTAAAATCAATGTCATTCTGTAGGTTTTGCAACAGCTTAAGGAAAAAGCTCTGAAGCGTGCAAACGTGACAGAAGATGAAATCTTGCAGAAGATTGAAGAACGGGATGCTGCTAGAATACAAAAAGAGTACGCCAAATCCGATGACATAAGGAAAGATTTGGCTGTTCTTGGTATTGCTCTTATGGATAGTCCAAACGGCACAACTTGGAGGCCTACCATTCCTCTTCCGCTTCAAGAGTTGCTATAGTCAAAATAAGCATCAGTTTTCCAACATTTGCAAAGCAAAATCAAAGGAAACTGCTCTTCCTCAATCCCTGTTGCCTTAAAGCTATGAATTAGAATTTTTGTTTCGATAAAAAAAAAAGTGTCGCGAGGTTAGCGCTGTTTTCTTGGTGGTCACAATTGAATTAATTAATATTTTTCAACATACAAGGCTTTTTTTGTAGAATATTCATAATAAACTCCATTGAAATGATAAATTAGTATTTGAAATTAAAGATTGTTAATCAATTCGACACTTCTGTCATCCAACAGGATAAGAAATTCTGAGGTTGTATGCATTTACAAGTTTAATCAGGAAAATGACTGTGAACCTGGAGATTTGTCCATACAGTTCCAGCAACATGATAAGAAACCTATGATTCCTGTCTCCACATGTCCACCAATATCTCCCTCTCTTTTGTGCAGCACTCTAATAAACTCATTTGAACTTAGATTTCCATCCCCACTTGTGTCAAACAAATGAAAAACAATCTCAACCACATTGTCAGAAAGAGCTAAACCGCAAACCTGAAACCAAAGAAACAGAGAATTCATTCTATCTGATAGCATATTTTATAAAACCGAGGAAGAAATCAGAGATAAAAATGGCGTACACTTGATGCAGCATGCCGAAAATCGTCTCTTGTTAAAAGGCCATTTACTTTTGCAAAACTGAAAAGAGCCAATGAAAGTGGTACTAATTTTTTCCGCAGATCTGCAAGGTTTTTGAACTCCTCAAATGTGATGCGTACATTTTTGAACTGAGGATTATTGTTCATTTCTTCAACCCTTTCGAGTAACTTGTTCAGATGACTCACGTCTGCAGAAGCAACTATGGAGTGTGCAAAATCTTTTGCTGATATGGTTTTTTGCGATTTGAAGTCATAATGAACAAACTCCAACCTCAAAATCTATACACATAATATTGTAATCAGTTTGTATACACAATCACATATAAGATCACTAAAAAAAACAACTTTCTTAATTTGTCCATTGAGGCGACATACTTCTTCATGCAAATCTCTTATAAACTGCACAAATTTATCATGTCTGAGGCGACCTTTTCCTTCTTTACCAAATAAGTACTCCACCATCTTTCCATTTTCTACGGAGGCATCGGCCTCTAGATCCCTTCGATGAACACCATGCTTGCTATGAGATCGCATCGATGCCATTACTCTTTTGAATTCTTCTTTATCTATCTCCCTAAAGATGGATAAAACTAGTTTAGCATTGAATCAATGTATAATATGTTTTAAATTTGATCACATAACAGCAATAATGATGCTCAACATATAACAAACTAGTATAGAAATAGAATGAGTAGTACTAACCCATCATTATCCATGTCAAACATTTTGAATACTGCAGAAAAGCTTGATTCTGGGATGCTAAGCAGTGTTACCAAGAACAAATACCTATTGTTAATATAAATAGTATAGGTTAAAACCTTTAGCCTCTGATAAAAATTATTCAGAAATTTCAAATAATACGTAAAAATTTCAGAAAACTCACTCCCTGAATGATACAAGACCATCACCATTTACATCGAAAAGCATAAAGAATTCCGAAGGGGGACATAACAAATGTCCGGGACTTCTTTCACCTTTCAAAGATCCATCTCTAACGAGATTTGATTCAGATGGAGGGAAAACAGGAACAACTGCACGCATTAAATCTGCAGGATTCATATGAACTTCCCCTTCTGGTGTACGAGAAGATGCAAAGTATTCGAAAACCTTAATGCAGAAGGGCATAAATTGTTAATGTAAATGAATTTTCAACTTTTAGCATTATATTGAAAGTACATATGAACATTAAACTCATATATACATATTAAGAAGCTACTTAGCAGAAAAAGTAGCGAGAATAAAAGCACCTTCTCGGGTGGACTATGCAACCTTATGCGCTTCTCATAGTTGAAGAAAACTTTACTTCTGTACGCATCTGCAACATGGCATCAATTATGAAATGAGATAGAAAAATTATAATGTAGAACTCGAATATGATCGACTAAGGTAACTTGGAAGTAAAGTTATAGATTACATACCTCCAAAGAGAAAGTGATTATCATTGGAACTCTCAGGATGTGATGATTTTGTAAAAGCATTGTTTAAGAAATGAGAGTCGAAATATGAATTGTGTTTGGAGAAGTAATAAAGAAGAGATAAAGAAGAGGCAAGAGCAAAGGCTGAAATCCAGTTTGGATATCGCGGTGAGTTGGAATTCAGTAAGGATGGTGGAGTTGAGATTCGGAAGCGTTGGATGAAGGCAGAGGATCGACGGAGAGTAGAAAAGAAAGACATGGTAATGGTAATGGCATGCTCTTGATGTCTGAAAGGTGAAATGAAGAAGATAGAAAATTGAAAGATGTTTTTCTTTTGTTTGGAAAAGCTAAGGTGGCAAGGCAAGTATCAGAACAATGTATGTCTCTACTATTAAAAGTAGAACCGTATACACTATATTTGTACATTGTTTGTAGGTAACAAACATGGTGTAGAAAATATATTGATATCAATTATCAATGGTGCTAGAGTATATTAAGATTAAGTGATTATCAATGGGTAGGGTAAGGAGAGTGATCATTGCCTCTTGTCCAAACCCTTCAAAATATCTCATAATCATTCACCACTACAGAAGATTTTCTTCATCTTCATTCTCATGAATTTCCATGGGAGTCTATTGAAAATGCTGGATTTTATCAGGGATCACTTTAAATAATTAATTAACATAAATATTTAATTAATTATTTAATTTTAGTATTTTACTTTATTTCGATAAATGAATATTATATTAGATTATATTCTTGAATAGTCCGCGATGGATGAACAATTCTTTTTGAAATAAGGGTATCCATTAGCTTCTTTCTTTATTCTATTTATAGTTGAGGGGTTAAGTTGCTAGAGCTAAAGAGTTTGACCTTTGATCTGAGTTTAGAGTAGGGTCGTCTACTTTTGTGGTATATCATCTTCAGTATGTAGATGGTACAATTTTTATGGTCGATTTTACTCTTGTAAATCTATGGAGTATTAAGGCGATTTTAAGAAGGTTTGAGCTGACTTCGAAACTTTGAGTTAACTTCTTTAAGAGCAATTTTATAGGGGTTAATATGGACTTTGTCTTTCTAACCTTTGCAGGGGATTTTCTTAGCTATGAGATTAAAACCTTTCTTTTTAAGTACCTTGCGTTGTCAGTAAGAGCTAATCCTATGATGAAATCTACTTGGGACCCTTTAGTCAATTTGTTGACCAATAAACACCATATTCTTGGAAGCACACATATGTTGATTAGTGTGGAAGATAGGATGGTTCTTTAAATTATGTGGTTAAAGTTATTCACACATTTTTCTTTTTCTTTTTGAAGAGGCTCAAGGTTTGGAAGAAGCTTGTTATGTTACAAATAATGTTTATTTAGGGATGAGGTGAAGGAGGAATCTAAGATTTCCTAGATTAAATGGGATGATATTTTTAAGCCTAGGAGAAAAGAGAGAGTTAGGAGTTACAAAGCTCCGACTAGTTAATCTAACCTATTTGGCTATGTGAGGATGTAGGTTGCTTACAAGTGCTTCAAGTTTGTGGTTTGAAATTCTTGTATCTAGGTATGAATCTTCATCAGTTTCATCTCTACCATGGAGAAGGACATCGTTGTTCAGATTTACTTCTTTTTGGTGGAAAAATGTGTCTCTTGGGTCTAAAGAGGATGACTCTTCTGATTGATTTGTTGATGGTATCCTTAGGAAAGTAGAGTGAGGTCTCCATACTTTAGGAATTAAATATTATTATTATTATGAATTTTAGAATGATAACAATATTGAGGTAGAAGAATGAAAGAAGAGAAACAGATAATTGACCATCACTATATTTTAGATCGATGGTGTCTAAGGTAGGAGAAGAAATGTGTTTGGACTTGATATTGGTGGTTCAGGTATGTTATTTGGAGATTTCAAGGAAGTATACATGTTGGCATACTGTTGAGGCACACAAAAATACCATAAGCGCTGACACACTTGAGATGATAATAGAGTCATAATCAAACTTTATTTATTCCACAAGGAAAAGGAAAATATCGATAAAACCCTTAAAAGAAAAAGAAAATGATTGTCGCAACCAAATTCGGGTTCAATACTCGATTATGGAAGGGAAATGTATTAGCACCTCTTACATCTGTTATACTAAACGGGAGCCATTTCGTTAGATTTGCGAATAAATTTTAGCTTTCATCATTTTCTTTCTTCGAATTATTAAAAGTATAAAAGGAAAAGGTCACAAAAAGGTTTTTATTAGGGTGCTTTACAAGATTGTTGGTCTTGCTCCTACGTATCCTCAAGTGCGATGAGACATTCAAAGCGACGTAGTTCTGGGAAAGACAAAGATGTTTTTGGGTTTTTTGTTATAGTGTATGACGATACGTTGAATCTAACTCATATGTATCCCCAAGTGTGATGAAGAACTCAAAGCTACGTAGTTCTTGGTAGCAAATAAATGTTGGTTGATTGACTTTAGTGAACAAATATTTAGGTCACATTTTAGCAGTTAAACATTGCTTGTATGTTCGCGCACGGGAGGCTTAAGTGTTTAATTGTATCGCAGGAGAAAGGATCCAGCTTGATCGCATTCTAGAATTTAAACGTTGCTTTTATGATCGCGCATGAAATGCTTAATCGCTTATTTCTATCGCGGTAGAATGGATAAAACATTGTTCATTTGTGAAAAGGTTTTTAATCGCACGTGGGCGAGAAAAAATAGTTTTGATTGGTTGAGTTTGTTTTTAGGCAGACGACGAATACTCTAGGAGTGAAGTGTACATCAACCATTTGTTTATTCGAGGATCAGTGAGGCATGCACCTCCCGTTCCCTTTTCGTCCAAGTTTGGAATTTAAAAAATTGTGGCAGAAGACAAATATTCGCAGTAGAGAGGCGTGCGCCTCCCACTTACTTATTCGTGGAGTAGAAGGATGTGCATTCCCTATTACTTTTTTATCCATGTTTGATTAGAGTATTTTATCCAGAAAACGGAAGTTCGAGCAATATGGCGTGTGCTAACCACTCACTTATTCGAGGATCACAAAGATGTGCATCCCTCATTCCCTTTTTCAACCGATTTTATTAAGAAAATATTTAAGTTTCGATGTGAAAATGATTTTGATTTTGGTTTTGAATTGGAGGTGAAGTGGTTGAAAAATAATGAGAGGCGTAAGCTGAAACGCGAGGTTGCAAGTTCTAGTGTGAAGGCGCAAACTCTAACGCGAAAAATCATACGAAACACGATATCGCGCACACACACACACACACACGCAACAAAACGATAGGGCAACAATATGCATATAACAACCATAACCAGCACACATTCATTACAAATAAATTGAAAAGTAAATGTGCGCGTTGTTAAATTAAATGCAAGAGAGGACGCAAATTGAGTTCACGAAATGCGAGGACATGTAATACAAATCTGCCAATGCAAAATTTAAATCTGATTCAAATGTAATAAATCGAAATATTGCATACTACCACAAATTGATTAATAGGTTACTAGCACAAAGCACGGCCATCGCAAATAAATCAAACACAACGAATTATATTATAATGAAAGTGACGTACGAAACACAAAATAGTGAAAAGCAAATGCAAATTGATGCTATGTTGAACTACCAAAAGTGAGTACAAATCTGAATTAAACGCGGCGACAATTGTATTGAAATGTCGCACGTAAACAAAAGAAAATTAACCAGCAGCTTGCTAACAAACAATGCAGTCTTCGCAATCGAAATAAAGGTCACTTACCATAATATTGATAAACAACAAACAACAACACATGTACTTAATATTTACATCATTATATCAAACAGAAATCTAGCAACATGTTACAGCATTAAAAATCACATCGAAAATAGGGATCTGAATTGATTTTAATGCAAAGAAAAATAGAACAACAATAGCACAATCACAACCAAAAATATTTATAAAATTACAACATCAAAATAGAAATCCAGCAGAGTCCAGAATCGAATATCGTCGAATGTACAAATTGCTCAAATCTGATTTAACCATAATGATGACAAAGTACATCAACATAATCACAATAAAATATACACCAAACGCGAAAGCGTAATCGCAAAATATAAAATAGTGCAACAGAATAATATACACAATGTGAAACAAAAATTGCATCATATACACAGTGCGACAACGATCTTGAAATCAAAATGTTATCGGATGCAAAGTTGTTGTTGTACTGATGGAGGTGGTGGTGAGTTGTAAGTTCATCAAATTTATCGGGGACGAAAACAAGGTAGTTGGATGGAGTATGGCGTAGATAAGAGTTTGTGTGTGAGAGTACGAAAACAGAGGGAATGCGAATATGATGGTGGCAAATTCATGGAAGAGAGTGACCGGAGTAGTTTTTGAAAGGCGTTGTGTTAAATTTTACGGTGGTTTATCTTATATTGTTTTGTGGTGCGTGCGAGTTTGTGTTTTATGAAGGCGTCGGTTAGGGCAAAGGTTGTGTGTTGAAGGAAAAAGGGTGGGTGGTCGTGTGGTTGTTGTGGTTCCAAGGTGGCGGCTCGCCAGAGTGGTAAGTTTATGAGTGTGTTGTTTTGTGATTAGTGAAATGTTTGAAGTTGGATGAGCTTAGGTGGTGGAAAAAAGGTGATGAGGGGAGGCGTGTATTGTTGGAGGTTATGAAGATGTTGGTTTAGTTATAGTCATGTTGAAGGCGAAGTGGTAGGTAGTGTGTTGGTTTATATCTTGTTTCTGTGAGTTGAAGATGGATATATAAAGTGTGGTGTTTGTATGAGAGTGATATGTTGTATACATGTAATAAGAAGATATACTTTTAGATGGGTGAGGAAGTGAAATGAAGGTGAGATGACATGTGTAGTATGTTGAGAGAAGCAAGATGGTGAAGTGGTCTATGAGCTTTTCACGCGTGCATGCACTACTATGGAAAACACGTATAATGACAATTGCGAAACACATATAATGATGTTTTTATGTCCGTTGTTAGATAATGCGTGATTGTATGCATGGTGGTTTCCATAATGGACGTGTGGCTGTTGTTATAAGAAAGGAAGTGCACTATCTATCACAACAGTTATATTAAACAACCGCTGTGATATATATTTAGGTCATGGGTTCGAAACCCAGCAGCAACAACAATTTATTTGGAAATAATTAACATTTCACCACTGTTACAGAGTATAGCCGTTGTGAAAAGTACCTTGAGTTTATTATAAAATATGTAGATTGTTTGTTTTCCTTTACACCTAACTAAACATATACAACCATAAAACTTGAGGTAGAAGATAACA